CCAGCGCTCCTACACCCCCCTCCTCCCCCTCCACGCCTACCGTGACAACAATAACACTACATCTGTCCACCAACCAGCATAGTTTATTTATTTCATTACCATATAAATGTAAAGGCCTGACGAGAATTTATCGAAAACACACGTATGTTCGCCAATTTATCTTCTGAAATTTTCAATGTGAATTTTAGCAAATTTAAAAAAATAACGTTTTGAATGAAGAAGGAATAGTTTAAAAGGTATTGAAAGGTACTTATTATCCAGATCATGGGACCAGCATTTATAGACGATTATAAGATCACCTCCTCGAACTTAAAGGTCTTACACCTACACTTCGGTGGGGCCTATCGTTTAATCATACGTGAATGAAGGGTGAGCGTTAGAGACAAAAAGAAAACGGAGACGGTCATTAATAATGGATGGTGAGATTTTAGTTAAATCAAGTGCTCTTTAAGCCTCTCCGGCATGCGATTTAGAGGGTTCGGCCAGGTGAAGTCATAAAACTCCAGAGATTACAGTGAAGCCTGGAGTGACGAGCGGCTCCATTTATGAGTATTTCCGATAATGAGCTCGTCACTAAGAGAAAATTTGTCCTTTGTGTGGATGTGTGTTGCCTGTGTTCGCCGTTGAGTATTACTCTTAAGACGTGGGTCCTCAGTCGCCTGCAGGCAATCAGTAAACTGATGCAGTTTGATGGACTATATTTCGCAGGACCAGTATTTTTTCATATAGTGAGATCAGTATCAGGACGGATTAAACTCGTTACCCGAGTTTCCACTTTATGTGAAAAATAATTCCTATCACACGGGAGTGTGGATTTCCTTATGTGCTCAAAACGAGGAGTTAGTAATACTTCATTTTGCTTTCTGTTGGGCTGGTTTTTGTTAGGAAATGTGGGCTGACTTAGGCATAAATGAATAGCGGCATTTTGCTTTAACGTAGCTTGAGTAAGGATAGTTTATGTTAACCCCCTAGGTTTAAAATACATAGCCTGACTTGGTTTGTTTATTAGGTAATAGCTATGGGGAGACACCCTCTGTGTTCAGTTTCGGTCAGTTTTTTTAGGGAAATATAGGATAATACCTTTGAGCTCCATCTGTGTGTTGAATACTAAATTCATATAAGGATACGTTTTTGTTATTTAAATTCCTTTTAGTTACTGCGAATTACTGATTGTTTTTTTTCAAATATCCCTCGCAATTCCGCTGCTAGGAGGATAATTTTGATGCAAACTAAGTTTTTGATGCTTTCTTGCACACAGTTCGCTGTTTGTCCACGATGAGGCCCCACCAGTAAAACCCCCCTTTAACTTTGTTCCCCATTTATACAATCCTGCCGTTAGTGGTATTTTCGTATTTTGCCAAAACAATGATTGGTTGCATTTGAAAAAGACATCCCTTCTGGTGCCAGTTAGCCAAAAGGAGCAGAACCTGAAAGCAACCAAGTCAGCGGTTGTCATATGCGTTCCCTTAGTAAAATAAAAAAAATTATTTTACGCTGAATGGAACCTTATCCACTGACATACGGAAGACTCAAAATCCCAGAAGAAATAGCAGAAGTTTTGAGCATTGCAGGACCATCAATACAAGATTTCGATGGTGACTTGGCCAGACGAACGATGAACCCTGTCAAATTTATTCGTCTTTCCAGTAGTAAGAGTCACTAAGATCATTAAATCCAGTGCTTGATATTTTTGAGCGCAAACTTGACATCCAAAGTCGTTGGGGACGTTTTAGGCCAAACTGGTTGATGCTTGTCATTTTGGCCAGTATGCGTGGGGTCTTGTGAGGCTCTTATACGAAATTCCCTAATAACCGATTCCTGTTACAACAAAATCATTAGCGGTTCAAACCGTGCCAAATGTAGTCTCATCGCGACACCTCACCTGTTGTCACCTTCATCGAATGATGACATCTTTTCTGCTCAACTCACGCTTAACAGAAGTACTTTGCAACGCCAATAAAACATGTGAATAGGAGAGGCTCGGTGATGATTAATCGGAAACGCATATCTGATAGGAATCTTGGGAGATCTTTGAT